TGAAAATCCATGAAAGACTACATAAAAATATCTAAAGAAACTGAAGGCCTGAAAGGGTAAGAAGGACCTTGTCAGGACATTCAGATGTCATCAAACAATTAAAAGATCAACCTGTGTTAATGCAAATTTAGAACAAATTCATTAGAGATCCAGAGAAATATAACCGTCAAATGCTTGTTTTCTTTCTAGTTTATTATCAAAGAAGTAGCAATAGGAAAGACAGCCTCAAGAAGCAGTTATAGCATTAGCAAACAGCTGCAATGCATGAGCAGGTTTCTGAGGATGTTGATGTCAGCAAGAAATTCCCACCAAACCTTTTCATTTTCAAATGAATTGACATAATTGTCATGAATTCATAGACACGAATGTTACTTTGCAAGCAATGGCAGGACAAAGGGTGACTGTATAAATAGCAACACTTTTGTACTGATGCACAAGACACACAATGTTCAAAAGACCATGAAGGCCCATTGCTAAAATTTCTTCGAGTGAACTTTTCTTTTTCTAGTTAACATCATTACCAAAGGAACAAGCAAAATAAATCACAACTAGTTGTGAACTAAAAATTGGTTTAGTAGTTGGTACTTATTGTTCTCTGGCTACTTCAAAACCACATGACGAATAAATCCCCTCTTCTACCACTTAAGCTTCCACACTTTTCAACATAACAGTTAAAGATGGATAAATTCACCGAATTAGTATGAGACAGCAATTACATCAAGGTGTATCAAAACCCTTTCACACGATTAAAGATCTTACATAATTGTTTTTGCAGATTGTGAAAGAAATAAGTAATGTCCATCACAAAGTCATTACTAAAAATGGACAAAACACAGATGCCTATACAAATAAAATAAAATAAAAATAAGACAATCCTCGGCTCAGCTACCCGAATCCATGCTTGACCATCAACATATAGACTTGCTTCATTTTCCGGTCATGCAAAAAATAATCACTATGATCAAGAACTGATATCATAGCATCTCTTTTCTTTCTTTATTTTTTCTTGAATGACACTCATTTTTTCATGGTTCCAGATCGAGCGTGCAAGTCCAAAGTCACCTACACCGTTAACTGTAGTTTACTGGGTCAGTCACAAGCACGATTCTTTACCCTCAAAGTTCTGGTAGAGCCGAATCAGCTTCAGTCATGGCGATCGTGTTAATGAACAGAACAACCATTAAGAATAACAAAGAAATATTTCAGAAAATAAAAATAAAAAATCATTAAATATTTCAAAATCTGCAAGACAACTCATCCTTCCCGAACACAATCCAAGAAGCATCTAGAACAGGGCAGAGGGAGCAGGAGGAGGAGAACAGAGGGAAGCGCACCGATGGTGGGGGAGAGATCGTCCGCGAGGTGGTTGGAGATGAAGGAGACGAGGAGGCTGCTCTTGCCCACCCCGGAGTCCCCGATCAAGAGTATCTTGAAGGCGTAATCGTACCCATGCCCCGGCCCCGACGACGAACCCATCAAAGATTCACCCCGAGATTCCGATCTCTCTCTCTCTCTCTCTCTCTCTCTCTCTCTCTCACTCTCTCTCACGGTGATGATGAGAGCCACCGGAAGTAAGGAAGCGAGAAAAAGAGGAAAAAAGAATGGAGCAGTTGGGGGTGAAGACGAGAGGAGAGAATGGAAAGAGGGAGAACAGAGAGAGAAGGGGGAGAGGCCGGGGGGATGCTTCGGCAGGCCGCGGCCGACAGCCAAATGGCTGCTTTAGTGCGCTCACAGTGCTTTTATTAATATTAATAAGAATATTATTATTATTACTCTTCTTCTTTCTCTCTTCTCGTTACGTCCGAAACCGCCACCTCCCCCTCCCTTTCTCTCGCGACGTCCGTCTACGCCAACGCCGTTCCATTCGGCGTGTCCTCTTCCATTCAATGCAGTCACGCCGTTATCCTCTGGCCGACTTACGAAATAAGACAAAGATACCAAAAAAAATATTATAATTAGAAATTATAAATTTTAAAAAATTAATACTAATTATATATTATTTTTATAGTTAACTATATTTAGTATCTTAATTTTTACTTATAAAAATAAATTATATAATCTTGTTTCTCCTTGTAACTTAAGCGATGAAAATATCATAAGATTTATGATTGAGCACGTGTTGATTTTATCTCACTTTGATTTAACATTAAGGTATTTTTATCGAACGATGATATAAAAAAATATTTTTAAATATTTTTTTATTTTATAAATATACTTTTTAAAAAAAAAATAATAATAATAATTAATTATATAGATAATTTATAATTAGTTAAAAATTTTATTAAAATATTGTATTTATTATTATTATTGTACAAAGTGGCTCAAAATTTTGGGTATGTCTCTGATACACTTAAATCAAAGTAATAAGCATGTTGTGGTGCGGGTGGATCTGTCAGCTATGATGTCCCATCATGAGTGTAGTTTTACTATATCCCACAAAAGAGTACTTGAAAGCTCGATGAGCTCACATTTCTCCGCTAAGGTGGGTCCGGTGGTCTAAACATGCATCATTGTTGCCGAGCGCATCCACCCAGATCGGCGGGCAACGCTTTGGCTTCAAACGACGAGTCGTTTGAGACATGACAACCTCAGAAGTTGCTTTTATAGCTCGCAAGATAAAACCATCTGTCACCGTCTCGGTTGGGCCACCCAGTCGTTTCCACGACGATGTTGGCTTCCGAGGGATCCATCCGGCACTGTTCTCGTGTGTCACCCCCAGTCACAGGATAGATGAGGGATTCAAATCTCAGGTTTATGGATCGATGTCACACCATAATAAAATCAAATTAATATTTATTTTTCTCTATTATTTAATATTATCAATTGAATAGATTTAAATCTTTTGAGATAATATTTTTATTTGTAAGGATTGTACTGTTCGATGTCATCCAAAAATATTCTTTTAACCGATTAAAATTACAACTCAGATCTAAAGATGAGAAGAGAAAACTGGATGGTGTTTTGATATTTGTCTCACACTGCATTGTTTATGATGCAAGGAAAGGAAACGGGAGGGCAGCTGTTGGGGTCTCACCAACCGCCGAGGGAGACGCGGGAGCCGGTCGCCTTATCCATTCCTACATCCCCGCCCGCTCGCTCGCCGGCCGGGGAGTGTGTGTGGGTTGTTGTTTTCCTGGGTTGGTGAGGGAGACAGCAGAAGGCGCGAGGTAGTTGGGCTACGTGGCCCGTCCACCCACACATGATCTCGAAACCGGAAGTACTAAAAAGCATAAGACAACGTCACGTGACTCCATGGGATGGCGGGAGACCGGCCCCGTCATTTCCTACTAAATCTAAAACTTTGGTATTTTGCTGGACCAGATCAGTGCCACCCTTGTCGTTCCCCATCGCTCCCTTTTTATTTTTTTCTATGGCAAGATTTTATATTTATATATGTACGGTTAATTTTTATTAAAATATTTTTTATTTTTTTAAAGCACTTTCTTTTTATTTTATTTCCATGAAACACTCCTTATCTTATAAAGAATCGACGTTATCAATCGTCGCGAGACCTTTATATATTTATACGATACTTATAAAGTATTCGAGACATCAAGAGGCTCAAGATTTTATATTTATATATGTACGGTTATTTTTTATTAAAATATTTTTTATTTTTTTAAAACACTTTCTTTTTATTTTATTTCCATGAAACACTCCTTATCTTATAAAGAATCGACGTTATCAATCGTCGCGAGACCTTTATATATTTATACGATACTTATAAAGTATTCGAGACATCAAGAGACTCAAGATTACGATGCCGCCTATGCTAAAAGATTTATTTGTTACTATTCTTATACCACCGGGGTTTATGTTGACCATCTAAGCAAAGAGATAATGATAGCGTCAACATACCATTTAAAATATATTTTTTTTAAATTCAAATTTGATATATATGGATCTAGAATATAAAACTATCATAAATGTCATTATAAGTAGCTTTCAATGCCACTAACTTAATTTAGTTGTTACTTAAAACTCTAATTTACAACAAATATCCTCTAACAACTCATTATGATGCTAAAACGTAGGGAGCATTCTACGTATTATCTATTTCCCTAGAACTATAATTAATTACAGTTAAGCAATTGAAATGGATGTGAAATATCCTAAAGAACACTTTTCTTTTAATTATGTGCCGTTAGAGTTGTGGGTCCGACTTCAGTAGACACTCGATGGTGGGAAGGTTCCTCCAGCTTTGAAAAGATCAATCAATAATCAATATTCTACTATTTTAATCTGGACAAGTAGTGATATGATTGTTGCATGTGCACTTCTGACTAAATTAATTGTTCTCCAATTGGATGAGTTCACTCGAAACTTCATAAGTCCAAAACAAATACAAGTTGACCTTTCAATTATCAAAATCTTTAAAATTAATTACTAATTAATTATCCTTAATATCTCGATCTTTATATTTTCAAAAATTATATTAAGATTTATATGTTGAACTATTGATAACATCAATATTTTACCTTCAATATGTTAGAATCAAGAGCACTAAGAGGGGGGGTGTGAATTAGTAAAGCGGATAAAAACGTCAACTTCGTCAAATCTCTCTTACGATAAAAATCGTTTCCGACATAAAATCGATTTTGAAAACTTAGCTTGAAAACATACGTAAATATATTAAAGACAGTAAGCTATTGAAGAGGTTTGTAGTAAGGTAATAGTAGAAAATAAAACATTTAACATTATTTCTCCTAATGTCATTAACTCTGTTGATAAAAATATCGTACAGTGGTAAATAAAAAATGAGACATAATTAACACGTATTCAATGATAAACGCTACGATATTTTCGTCAACGGAATCGACGACGTAAGAAAAAATAAAATTAAATATTTAACTTTCAAAAGTGTAAAGATCCCAATATGACTTTTGAAAACATAAGAATCGAAACGCTGATGATAACTAATTATAAAAGATAACATGTAATTAGCTTAAATCTTTAATCTAATAAAAAAAATATAACAGAAAATTTTAACAACAAGAGAGTACAAATTTAGAGTGAAATTGGGCTCAGGAATATGAACTGAATAAAGTATAGAATTTAGAACCACATACACCGTAAATACACAGCATATTAAACAAATCCATTCAATCAAAAAGAAAAATAACCAGAATAAGGTAATACCGTCAACTTGGAACTTCCTGGAAAGTGGGTGCAAGATGCTGGCAGGAAACACAACCAGGCGTCGTCATCAATTCAAATGCTGGAGGCGGCACCAACTCCATGCGCCAGCTTGCTAGGGTGGTGGCTACCAACCAGAACATGTTTGAACCGGCCGACAGGTCCCAGCATCCTGATCATCCTCTGTCAAAAGTAGCTAAGAGTTGTTAGCCCGTGAAACAAAAGCCAAGTTGAAGTGCAGTGTACCATGAGGAGAACAGCTGACCACAACCAATATTAATTGGGAGCAGTAAGATAAACCACAACGGAAAATTAGTAGCTTATGCACGAATATTAATTCGTCATCCCGCTTGCCAATACTAGACATACCAGAACCAGTGATACCTATATTACATCAAACTTCTCCTCATAGATCTCCAATAATATGAATACAATTTGCCTACCACAGCACCAACACCAGGGTGTCGTAACCTCCATATCTCAGCCTTGTTTGCTAGTAGACATCAAGCGCAGTCAGATACTAATTTTCAAATAAAAATGGCCTTGTATATAGGTACTACTTTGCAAATAATACGACCAAAGTAGTACACCTGAAATATGATCAGAGTGGCCTACTCAAAAGTTCATTTTTTATTTGGACAGGCAATAATTGAAAAAAAAAAAATTCCATGTGATGGTTATAAAAAATATTAAGAATGGATATTGTCAGGTCCATCATGCTAACACCAGAACCACAGCTGCCTTATTACTGAAGCATCACCATAAACTGCATCGGATGTCGAAAATAACATATGCAGCTTACTTGAATCAAATGAGGCATCAATTATGCATCCAGATTTAATGTTCTAAGATAAAGAGGAAACATTCCCACCAAAATGAGATCCCCTCCATTACTAGTACCACAAACACCACATCTCATGCTGGAAGTGGATGCAGAACACATGCAGTACAATACCAGTGATACCGTGAAATTTGCTCACTGAGAAAGGATGAATACGTAAAGCGATAATAAGAGAGAAGGCAGCATTCTCAAATCGTCAATATTATCTAAGCAAAGATGAATGTGTGGCCACTCAGCACTAGATCTGTGCTTTAGCACAAGTGAAAGCTATAACAAACAAAACAAGGATGCACAGCATAAATTATAGGTATTACAATACATCCAGATTACTTTTTTTTGGAGCAATAAAAGCATCGTATTATAAAAGTGATTCTGTAAAACGATTAGACAAAAAAAATTGAATGTTCAAGCCTTACAATATCAATCAATTTCGCACATCACGTAACTTTTCAAGGCAGGCCTTCATGATAATAACCTAGGAGCCCTTAAACTCCTCGAGAGCAAGAACAACCAATCATGATGGGTAACCAACTGTCAACTTAATATTTAAAAGAAAATCCTACAGAATCGACTGACTGATACTTTCAGAGCTTCTGGAGTTCATCATTGATATATTATTTATGCTGTTCTAAAATCACTTGTATGCTGCTAATTGTATCGAGAAAATCTTCTCAGCTTAACATGAAAATCTTTTAACCATGAATCCATATCCCTAATTTAAGAATCCTTTTTCTATACTCAGAAAAAAAAAAAGAAAAAAAAAAAAGATAAGCACCATCATGTGCCTTTTTCCCCACTGTCAAAAATCAGGACATAATACATTGAACAACATGGATTGTTTAGTTCTACCGAGCAAATTGATAATAACATGGACTTTTCATTTTAATGGAAAAATAGATGTAAAATCTGCAATTTTGCTGAAAGCAAGTACGAAACCAAACAGACCAACACCTGGAAAATCTGCGAACTAATTACTGTCATCCAAGGATACCATCAACGTGGTGAGAACAAATGCAACAAAAGCTATCCATAATCCATGAAAGATCTTGTATACTTGTCAAATTTTATGTGGTACGTGCAACCAAATAGAATTCCACTCAACGAGAACGTGTCCTGTGACTAATGATCAAATCTTGAAAGATGAAGAACAATCACGTGCAAATCAAGATATGCAAATATAAGCAGTCATCATAACAGGATGTAGTGTTCATCTATTTTAATTAGAAAAAATGAAATAAACTGAGACATAACTGCAAAAAACAATGATCAAAATTAGATGTGATATTCAATTTGATTTAACAATAAAAAATGGTTCGCATAGAAAGGACCTTATTGATGATGACGAGGATTTTTTAAGTAACTTTTATTAGTTTGCATAAGCAGTAAAGGAATCAAAGTAACTTCATCACCAAAGGGTAATCCATCGTCAAAGTTAAAAAATCTTTTTGTCAAATAACAAATCTCAAAAAGAGAGAACAGAGAGAACTGAGAGAACTCTGTGATAGAACTGCAAGGTCATGATGTTTGCTTTTTTTTTTTTTGCACAATGGCAACAAGCATACCTCATCGTTGATGCTAAACCTCCATTTAGTTTTATGAAGCTGCAATTTGTCTCGCTGCCATTGCTGCCCCAGAATTACAAGTCCCACAAAAGCAGCAGCTACTACGACAGACCAAAATGTATTGGCCTCCTTCGCACGGTCGTACATGGATGCAGCATGCCTTTTCCACCAAGACTGACTTGGAAGATCAGATCCATCAGACTTGTCTTCATTTGGTCTTGCATGCTCTTGAGAAGTACCAGTATTCGTATTTGAAGTTCCTTCAGTCTCAAACTTGGTGCCACTTTCATGTGCTCCAGATTGAAAAGCAACAGACTGAGAATCAGCAAACTTACCCTGCCCCTTTCCAACAGAATTTAGCCCTTGGAATCCTATGCCCTCTTGAAATCCAATATTTTCTTTGTCAAAAAACTCAATTCCATGCAAGTCATCATCAGATTCAGTCTGCAACTTCTGTTTACCCAAATTATCAAGTAAATTATCATCATAAAAAACTTCAGAGCTTACATCATGTCCGTCTGGTTCACTATTGATTTCACTTATGGCGGGTTCTATTGGAAGATTCTCATGTTCACTGGGTGGAAATATAAAGTGACCAGACATGAATAGTGCAGCAGAAGTATCATGATTAGTTATGCTCTCCTTCTCTTTACTTTCATCGGTAGGGTCAAACTCGTTCGGTCCAGGTGCAGCAGCATAGGCAGATGCTGTGAGGGACACAACTTCCCAGTCAGCTCCACGAGATGAAGTTTCCTCTTGACCTTTTTCATTGTCCGCCATGTCAAAACCTAAAATTCACTATAAGTTTGATGAGATTAAGTCATTCAAATGAAAACAATAAATTATATACGGATGAACTTAAGCACATGAACAACAACAAGCAGAAAACAAGATAGTGCACTTCTAGCAAGGTCCAGATCAATCAGGTCCTAGATTGCTAAAGTAGAAAACTTTAGTCATTGAGCCCCATATCAATGGCTATGGTTATGCACCATGAAGAAATCTGTAGTTTGACAAACTCATTACTCCTAAATCAGAAATTTTGAAGAATGAAATGTTAAAAAACTGGTTAAAATAGAGAACACCTGGAAGAAAGTGGAAAGAATAAAGGGCAACCAAATTGCATCTTCTTTCGAATCAACAGAAGAAGCTAAGGACAATCTTGATAGAATTTAATATCTATATACAATGAAAACAAAAGACTCAAGCATTAACCCTTCACCAACTCCAACAAATGCATTTCAATCACGTGTAAATAGATAAGTTTCCTTTCTCAGTGTGACAACTAATGAAATTTCAATAAAGACAACTAATGAAATTTCAATAACAACCAAGAACAAATAGTTTATTGTAGTTATGCAGAAAGCCATAAATAAATAATAACAATATATCTTACTGCAAGAATAAATCAAGTCGACAAATATATAGAATAGTTGAATACTCCCAATCCAAATTTGTAGGTAACGAATACATGTTAGACAAGCAACAACCAAGAAGAAGAAAACCAAATTGGAAGTGCAGAAATTTTTTACTCCATATTCTATCCAGTTTCTTTGCCTGTTCTATCAAAGATCAATCAGTGCTGTCACAAGTGATCACCTGGGAATTTGGGCAATCCTTGAACAGATCACCAAATGCACATATAGACAATAATATATATTTGCATGCATGAATACATACATTCATAATATAGAGAAATACACATGCTGATGTATACTGTATAAATAAATGCAGTATTTTCAATTTAAATGGATTTATTTAAGACTAATTTTCAAGTCCAAAAGCTTTTCTGTAATATGCTTTCAAGTACTCTAAACATCTTACAATCGCAGATATGCTGAACCGTTGATTCTCCATTTATAGTATGAAACTATCACAATACATCATTGCTCACCAACAAAAATATGACAAAGTGACCTGCAAAATTTGTCACCGGGACTACCGCCTAGGGTCGAAGATGTAGGAATTTTTGACGACTATGGATTCAATCCAATCAACTTTCTTGAAATTAACATACCATGATTTATGAAACGCTTGATGCTCCACAAAACGATTAATTACTCTATCATATATCGAGCCATTCCAACAGAAATTTCAACTACAGAAAATTGATAGAAAACCCTAATTCCAACTACAACTTCCACAGAAAACACATTTGTCTCGATGATTGAAATCCACCAGAAGGATGTAAACCATGGAGAATTCAATCATCCGATTCATCCCAATAGAACCAAATTTGGACCAGAGAGCAACTAATCGGATCCAAGCAACAAATTGGCGCCCTTGTACCAAAGCTGAAGCTCCAAACAATCCGAAGAAATCTCATACTCTAAGAAAGGCAAAAAAACACAAGAAGAAATTTGTCCAAGGCACCAAAAAAGACAACATTGTTTACCTCAAATCTTTGGGCTATGGGAGGAGGAGGAGGAGGGCCGAAGAGAGGCGAAGAGACTGGAGGGAGGTAGGGAGAGAGAGAGGGAGGGAGAGGGAGGAGAGAAACCTGGCGAGAAAAATACAGGAATGGTTCAGCAGGTGGTGTCCGTCCGAAAACCGGCTGCACCCGGTCATCCCTGCCGATGACGTATAGAGCATTTGCTTCGAACACCAATTAAAGCGACCCACAAAGACACCCCATCGCATAAGACGCAGAGATGAATGACGGATCGAATCAATCAGGTATCCGAGTTGTCCCTTTGTAGGGTGTAAACAAAAGAGTTTCTTTGGGATTATCTCACTGTGTGGATAAGGTTGAGATTGCGTGGGCAAAAAACTCTTTTTTTTTTTTTCTGTTTTTTGTTTATCATGTTGTGAAAAGATTTGGTGCGTTTCATCGCTCTCTAATTGGTCATAATATAAAAATAAATATGAACGAATTCCTAATTTTTTGTGGAGCGTCTCCACCTCACTTTTTCTTTTTTTATAATTTTATCTTTCATATTGACTTTATTTAATTTAAAAATATACAATGTGTTGTTGCAGTAAAATCTAGACATCCTAAAGTCTCATATTCGAATCCTCTATAATAAAATTTTATTTTATTTTATTTTATTTTTTAAAAATAGAAATCCAATTAAAGATGTTAACCCATCATATCTCAACTATTTGGGGCAATAAATAATTCAACCTGCAACCACAAGTCACTGCGGTGGCAATCGAGAATTCAACAGTTGCTGAACCACTTAGGTATAATGTCTTTGCGGGGTAGAAGAATAAATATACGTCTAGTTTTCATATGATTTGATGAATTACAAGAGAAGGAACAGCTTGTCACCATAATGTTCAGATGTCATGCATTTCACAAAGGATGTAGTACACATGAGCTACTGACACACTAATCCACTTTAGAAGAAGCAACAGACGGCTCGAGCACTGTCAAGGTGTGGTCATTGCAGATGTCATGAAGATTTCTACCTGGTGAGGTAATAGATGAGTAGGAAGAGCACCAGGAAAGATGCCACAAAGGTAGCCATTCTGCGACTTGACTTTCTCTCAAAAACCTAATATCAAAACTCAAATTGTGGTCATCAAAAGAAGCGGGAAGAATCCCAGTAACAAAAAGAAAAAAGCACACTTACCATCTTGAAACGATCAACCGTTCCAGAAAGGACTCCCCTTGAAGCATCCATGTCATGACCCTAAAGTCAAGCCATCACCAGAAGAACTTGATCATGTATTTTGCAAAAACGAGTGTGAATGAGAAAAAGATAAGGATTGAATGTGTTCTTCACGTACCATTCGGTCCAATGCTCGATTATGAATCTCAACTTCTTCATGTATTTCCCCTGTCAACTTCACACCAAAACGATCATAATAGAAGTCAAATAATCACATCTTAGAGGAACTAAAATATGCACTGATGGGACTTAAAGAAAAAAAAAAAGATAAAGCCTAGATATCTGAAAAATTAAAGACTAGTTGCACCCTGAAACATTATAGGCATAAACTACAACGTATGAAAAGGAAGAATGACTAAGGTGATCATGGCAACAAAAAAGATTAAGAAATATATACAAATAAAAACTACTGTTTTAAGATATTTGTCGTGCAACACACTTTTCCTTGTTAGTTTTTTGGAATATCCTGGGGATACCACAAACTTGTCTATCATCAAATCATTAAAATTTAAACAACAAAAGTACCCATGCTTTTTGTTTCCTGCAGTACCAATAGCAGCTGTCCCCCTACACCCTTATTCTCTGGGGATATAAGCTGAAAAAGCATATGATCCTCACTCTTGTCAAAGAGCTGATTGAGGATGGAAGTGCAAAAAGTAGGAAGAAGCACCAACAATGAGAACAGAGGATAGAGAAAGGGGTGTGTGGAGAGTTGACAACAGCAAGAAAAGTACTTGCCATTTTAAAAGATCAGAAAAGGAGAATAAGGGTTTAGTGAAACATTGATCACACTATTAAGATGGTTAACCAAGAACAAATAGATCAAATCATCATTTGGATTATCAAGCCAGCTTATGCCATAGGAAAATCACAATTTGTTTCGTGTTAAATTGCAATTTAGATGAGGCATGAACTTCTCCATGTAGTAGTATCTTCTAATCATGAAGTAGAGTATTTGCATATTGACCAAAGAGACACCACATATATCAAGCTTGTCAACTGGGTAATATCAAGAACATCCTTTGGTGGAGCTAAAAGCTCTGATTATATTAACATGCATTAAAAGAGCAAAGTAAATAACTCTAGACAACATAACCGCTTACTATTTTGGACAGAGAACTTGTAAAGGAAAACACTTATCCTGATATAAATGCAACTTTTGTAAAATATACTTATGGTTAGGAAAAGGACCAAGAGCTCCATCAAGACAAGTCCAACTACGATTTTAGGAAATATAATGTTATTCAAATAGTGTAAAAGCAATGAGATCATATTTTGCATATGACTTACTCTTTTTAAAATATTCACTCTATCTTGTAGCCCATCGATAGCTCTGTCGTTGTCATACTCATCAATTTCATGAGAGGAATAAGATGGTGCTAGAATGCCACCCTCCTCAATGCTATCAAAAAGAGAAGCTCTGTTTCTATAATCTCTGCAAATAGTCGAATCAAACACAAGACAAGAAAGTGCCAAAGTCAAGTCGAAGAACAACTCACCAAAGGTTCCAGAAAAAGAATCAAATAACATGCAGCTTATAAAGTAAGACATCTTAAATAAAGAGTCAAATTATGCTATATCATATTGAATTTGAGAAGAATTCCACGTACAAGATGTACAGTGATAGCATATCCAGCCTTGCACAATATTCTGAAATCAAAAGATTTAAGGAAAAAAGACAGGATATAGACTGTCCATCTTAAGGATGTAAATCTCAAGAAATTTCTTAGGATATCTTTTGATGCTAGAACACATAATAAGAAAAAATAAAGTACAAGTGTGCTAAAGATCGCATGATGCTGCAGTACAAAGCTATGCCAAGCACTGGTTAGTCTGCCTATATCAAATGGCATATTCAATATGAGCCTTCGCATGCAATATCTAGGTCCCTTTTAGATCATCACTAACAAAGTGAGCAATCTGGACAAATCAGATCTGAGAAATAGTACACATGGCCTGAATTAAGCATTCTCAATAGATGGTCCATTTAAATCTATCACAAGATGAAATCCTTTACAGCTAAAACTCAATATGCTGATAGTAATTGCTGATATGAATCTAATTTCTAGATTATTCATATAGTTGTGCTTGTCATGCTTTAATATCATTTGTGCTACTTAAAATCCCCCTAAAACAGAGACCAGCACCATTTTGGCTAATAGCAGCCAAACTCTTCTGCTGCCCTGCAGATCCTATCCAATTTAACCCAAACATTATTCTTCGACATCTCTCTTACTGAATTTTAAGGTTTCTTTCCCCGAAGCAGTACACGACATATTTAATCTCAGTTTGCTATTAGTCCATCATTTAAAGATGATATGGCATACTTAACCCAGGATATCGTGCCATGCCTACAAACAACACGACACACAATACCTTGTATGAGTTTAAACATGTATCTCACTTCAAAAAGTATAGCGCAGATGTCAGACTGCTCTGCACAGGTATAAACAAAATTCATACCTATAAATTTAATAGAATGCAGTGACAGTCCTTTCAATAAAAAACTTACAATTTTTTGGTTAATTATTAGAACGCAGATGCGACCCCTTGAATCCCAGACTTAGCCTACTATTACGGCGAAGAACTAAAAAGAAAGTTCTATAAAAAAATTGAAAGGAAAAGGCTAATAAAATTGAAATATTACTCAGTGATATAAGGTTAGTCCCTGCCAGTCATTTCAGAAGATAAACAAAATCACTGACGCAAAAAAGAATGACACAAAGGCTATTCTCTTAATAATATCCTTGTAGATAGACAAAAAAAGGGTAAAAAGAAAAAAGAGTTCTACCTTCTCAAGTTCATAATTTTGGTTAATGGAGCAGCTTTTTTTCTTTGTCCTGCTCTCTTCTAATAAGTATCTTTTCCCTATCTTCCTCTTCTCCCACAATTCCGGAGTCAAAAGTTGTGGCTTGTTCAGCACCTGGGCAAAAAATTAAATCAGAATAGCAAGGCGATGGAATCAGTAGCTGCAAATATCATTTCATTTTGGAACCGTTTCGCAGATCAAATCGATAACACACATCCAAGGGACTTCGGATCGCTCTACAAGGCCGTTATTCCAAAACCGAAGAAAGCCCTAAAGAAATTGGAGATCTATAAAGAAACCTCAACTTGCGAAATAACAGAATCAACCACTGATCGCCTTAATTCGCGATGAAAGTTCCATCGGAATAAAATCCAATTTACCAGAAACCGATGAAAGAGCCGGATCGCAGAATCCAATCTCATGCCAAATGGTACAGCAGAACACAACCGAGAAAAAACGAACAAAAAGAATGAATCCAAGGATCAAATGGATTAAACGGAAAAAAAAAAAAACCTTCGATCCACTAATTGGATGCTCGGATCTCCGTCGACGAGAGATCTAGGGTTAGGTTTCTTCCCGGTGCTTAAATGCCGGTGTCGGTGAGGAGAACCGCACTGATGAGGCGGCAACTGGAAAGAACGGAGCTTTTCCACGCGGGAAGCGCGTCCAGAACATGCTCACACGCCGACTGCAACGTGGCACCCTCAGACAGGTTAATTACGCTGCCAGTATGTGATCCGAACTAGATCCCATGCAATCCATTCAAGCAACGAGCGGGTCCGAGTCGATCAGTATGTGTTATCGGCACGGGAACACGACAAGAGACACGCCCAAGTTGAGCACGAACCGTGCCGGTTCGGGTTGGTCAGGTCGATTAGGATGCGACCATCTAATCATCGGTTGAGCCCATACCCACTGGTCGGCATCAGATTTGAGCCGGTTGGTTTCGGGTGTGTACTATGTTGTGTTACTGATCTTGCTTCTTTGATTGATACAGCAGCTATGACAACGTACAGAATTAAATATGCAATGGTATTTTTGATGACTAATCATCAAACACATTCTCGAACTATTCAATGCCTTCAGGTGCTACTTCCTAGCAGCGTATCACTGAGGAGCAAGAGGAAAAGATGTGCTATGATTTCTGATATGTGTTTCTCAATCCCTAGCATGATTCATTAATGTGTAAATAGATGCCTCAACGCCCTTAGACACATTCTTAATTAATATCACAAGACAGATCATAAGCTCTAGGTTATTGATAATATAGGTTGACCAGATCAGACAAGCACATCCAATTAAAAGCTTAACACATATTAATATCATTGGCGATAGCACATCCAAGGATCCACGAAGGTAATTATGAGTTGCCCTTCACTTATCACCCACGAGGACTAGAGGTTAAGGAGAGATTGTTGGAGACAATTAGAGACTACCTCCTCTAAAAATATTTCAAAGAATATTCTAATCCTTTACGACGATATATAAAAGTTTATCTTCGATAAAAAATGGATGATCATCTTTTTTACCGCTCGTATCCTCACTCATATACATTGGGTTATTAACTTGAATGTCAAAGGGATCGAATCAAGAAATCTCTTCCAACCTCGATTTTTGTGTAAATAAGATCTCAGGAGCTCGATATTTTCACCTCAAATAATCCTATGCATACGAGTCCAAATCACATTAGGCTGACCAGAACATCAACGACTTCTTCCCTCAACAATTAGTATTGAACTAATAACAAAGCACCCTAACATGACATTGAAGAACATACTAAACAATTATTTATTTTGAAATATATTGTCAGTCAAAAATGTACAGACTATACTAAAACTAATGTGAAATATAGTGGACTTAATTTAAGCGCATGCAATTCTAGACAAAAGTCAATTATAGTATTAATTAGTAGATAAAAAATTGCTTCTTGACATTGATGAATTTCTCTAAATAATATCACTACCACCTACCAATAGTCTTGGCAAGAACATGATCCTTCACAGAACCGGTGGAAGCGGTTTCGATCACGTACAATAATCACCCTGCCATATATCTGAGTGAGAAGCTTAGTAGCAGCATGACAGTCATCACAAACCCTAAGGTTTTTCACAATTCGAATTGGTGTCCGTGGTGGGGTACTGATAAGACCAAATGCCATGGCTAATTTCTCACTATGATAGTTGAGCACTGTTTCCTTCTCTTCCTCGTCTATGTTAAGATATACGCCTGAAGTATCAGCAACATGTCCTGCCCGTTTGAGCTTCTCCTGCATTTCTGAGAGCATTGCTTGGATCTTCTTGCTCTGTGGGTGTGAAGCATCACCCATCACAAACTCATGAACCACTCCATTTACCTCAATCGCGGTCATCCCAGGCATCTTCTTAATTCCCGTATCCTTCATCGATTTCCTTACTTCTGCAACCTCGCTCCATCTCCGATCAATTGCATAGATGTTTGAGAGAAGTATATTGTAGCCACTACTATGGGGTTCAAGCTTGAGAAGCTCCTTTGCTGCCAGTTCCCCCAATTTCGGATTCTTATGAACTTTACATGCAGCAAGAAGTGCCCCCCATATTATCACATTTGGTTCATTAGGCATTCTGCGTATCAATTCATGTGCCTCAACGAGGTGTCCAGCTCGACCGAGAAGATCAACCATGCATCCATAATGTTCGACTTTTGGAACCAATCCATAATCATGTTCCATGCAACTAAAGAACTGCTTTCCCTCTTCTACTAGTCCTGAGTGGCTACATGCACGCAATACTCCAATGAAAGTGACATTGTTTGGTCTAACACCCACCTTCTCCATCTCCATAAAAAGACTGATAGTTTCCTCTCCATACCCATTCATGGCGAGTCCGTTAATCATTGCATTCCACATGCACACATCTCTATCAGTAGTTTGAGTGAATACTGCATACGCTGCATTGATATCCCCGCATTTGGCATACATGTCTACCAATGAAGTGGTGAGCACAACATTCATCTCTATTCCTTGCTTGTCAATACAAGCATGAATCCACCTTCCTCGGTCGAGAGCCCCAGCCTCGGAACATAAAGAGAGGAGGTTCACCATGGTTATTTCATTTGGCTTTATATTTGCATCTTTCATCTGGGTGAAGAGATCAAAGGCTTCTTTGATGCAATTGGTGTGCGCATATCCTGCAATCATGGCAGTCCACACTGCAATGTCCTTCCCATCCATGAGATCAAACATTTCTCTTGCACTCCACAAATCACGGCACTTGCAGTACATATCGACCAAGGCAGTGCCCAAAGCTACCGACATCTTGAATCCATTTCGAAGTATGTAGGCATGAAGCCATTTGCCCAATTCTAAATTGCCAATCGATCCACACTCAATCACCAAGCTCAGCATCGTGATCTCATTGGGGAATACATGATTATGCCGCATCTCGATAAGCAGCTCCATCGCAGTTCCCATATCTCTGCTACGAATGAAACCAGCTATCATGGCAGCCCATGATGCAGTGCTCTTTTCCTCCATCCTGTCAAAGACTCTTCTTGCTGCAGAAATACTTCCACACTTGACGTACATATCAATCAGGGCAGTGGTAGCATTAACACTAGGTGATTCCCTAGCACTGTTTTTTATCAAATAAGTATGCACAGGTCGGCCCTTTGTAAACTCTCCAACATCGGCAAAGAGATTAAGCATGTTAATTATTGCTACTTCACTAGGCCTTATGCCTGACCGGAGCATCTCTCTGACGAGTTCAATGGCTTCGTCAAACAACTTACACCATGCATAGCTCCTTATCATAGTGCTCCACGAGACCACATCTCTATCAGGCATTTCATCGAACAACTTCGTAGCAAACCCCAAGGATCCACATTCCGAGTACATCTGCATCAAGGAATTATGTACGAAGACATCCCAATGGAACCCGGCCTTTATGACAAACCCATGGATTTCCATTCCTTGTCGGAGACTCGAGAGCTGCGCGCAGGCCTTGAGAACTGAGGGGACGGTGAAGTTATCGGGGCTGGCCGCAGTCTCCCGCATGCGGGCGTAGAGATTCAGTGCGGCGGACGGTGTGTTGTTCTTGATGTAAGAAGTGATGAGAAAATTAAGCTGGGCTTGAGGACTGGATTGAGCAGGCAGGATATTCGTTGGTCGGAATTGTGTTCGGATAATGTGGCCATGGATCTCTTTAGTCTGTTGCAAGGTGAAGGTGGTGGCGGTGGCGGTGGCATCTTTTGGTGGTGGAGATGGGATTGGAGAGTGGAGATGAAGAGTAGGTTTTGGGATGGGTTTGAGTTGGGAAGAGAGAAAGGGGGAGAAAGGGGTTCTGCTTGGAGTTACCATGGCCTCCATGTCTCCATTTCGGTGAGAGTCAATGAGGTTGAAAGAGAGCGACGTTGCTTTACTGGGGCGTCAAATGGAAATCACGACCGTTCAAATGTTGGGCGGGGGCTAAATTGACGGCCTAAAATTGTCCTCTGCAGAGCCCATCACACAAAACGAACAGCAGATAAGCCCCCTTCTCCCTCGCCAACACCACTCGCTCCCTCTTCCCTCTCCCTTCACCTCCTCGCTTCCCCCGTCGCCTGTCCATGGCACTGCTCTCAGTGGCGACCCCTCTCAAGGCCAAGCATGTGCCCCTCCTCGTCGCCACCTCCCGTCCCAGTTTGATCCTCCGCCGCCGCCTCTCTCTTCCGAAGCCGGCGTCTCCCCGCCGGTGCGGCCGGGTCTACGCCTCCATGCTGCCCACCCCGCCGCCGTACCCTCCGCCGCCAGGCGAGCAGGTGTACCAGCCCTTTCGCCCCCCGCCCTCCCCGCTGCCGGCCAAGTACCGCTCCCTGGGCACCGCCGAGCGGCTCGAGATCCTCCGCGATCGCCTCGGATTGTGGCACGAGTACGCCCCGCTCATCTCCAGCCTCGGCCACGACGGCTTCAACCCGCCCTCCATCGAGGAGGTCACCGGCATCTCCGGCGTCGACCAGAACCGCCTCATCGTCGCCGTGCAGGTCCGCGACTCCCTCGTCTCATCCTCCTTCGACCCCGAGTTGCTCGCGTTCTTCGACGCTGGCGGTGGCGCCGACCTCCTCTACGAGCTCCGCCTCCTCAACGCCGCCCAGCGTGCCGCCGCCGCCTACCGCGTCATCGAGCACCGCCTCGATCCAAAGGCGGCCCAGGAGCTGGCGCGGGCCATGAAGGACTTCCCCCGCCGGAGGGGGGACGTTGGCTGGGACCGCTTCTCTGCCGCCTCCCCGGGTGACTGCCTCGCCTACACCCACTTCCGCCTCAGCCGGGAGACGATGTCCCCTGCCGAGCGGATGGCGTCGCTCGATCGGGCGGTGGAGGCGGCGGAGACGGACGAGGCGAGGAAGCGGATCGAGGAGGAGATCGAGCGGGCGTCCCGCCAAGGCGAAGGAGGAGCCGTGGCGGCCGTCGAAGAGGCGGAGGAGCTGAGGGTGACGGTGCCGGTGGTTCGACTGAGGTACGGGGAGGTAGCGGAGGCGTCGACAGTGGTGCTGCTACCGGTGTGCCGGGCGGAGGAGGGGGAGGAGGGGATAGCAGCGGCGCCGGGGCGGTGCAGGGCGGAGGGAGAGCTGGGGGTGATGGCGGCGGAGCGGGGGTGGGCGAGGTGGGTGGTGCTGCCAGGGTGGGGGCCGGTGGTGGCGGCGGGGAATGGGGTGGCGGTGGAGTTCGTGGACGGGAGGGTGCTGCCGTGGAGGGGAAGCAGGGGTTGGGAGGAGGCGGTGCTGGTGGTGGCGGACCGGCGGAGACGGGAAGTGGGAGCTGAGGACGGATACTACTTGGTGGGCGGCGAGGAAGAGGGGAGGGGGAAGGGTTTGGGGGTGGAGAGAGGGGGGAAGCTGATGGGAAAGGGAGTGAAGGAGGCGTTGGGGACGGTGGTGTTGGTGGTGAGGCCACCCAGAGAGGAAGAGGATGACATGCTGCGCGACGAAGACTGGGACTGAATTGCCAATCGTAGGCAACGCCTCCCGTCTCGCTCTCTCTGTTTTTGTTTCCCGCCCCAATAAAGGCTTATCATTTTGCCTTTTTTCATTTGGATTAGTGGAGCTGAGCAAATTACAATCGAAAGAAGAGATTAAATACCAAATGTCTGTTGATCACAATGTTTGGCATTAGAAGATGATGCCACCATGTAAGTCGTGGAAGACAGCATGGTTGACGACATGTCCGTGTAGACGACGAAGGAAGGCACTCGAATTCTCTTATTTGAATTAGATGCATCGCGTTTATTTCCACCCGTCCTTTCCGAGCATTAACTTCCGTATTTTATGTAGTTTTTAATTGATTCCTTTTCAGTAAAAAAAATCGATTAGAAAGGTATCTAAAAAAACGTTCAATACACAATATATATATATATATGGGATTTTTATATACCCTTCTAATAATTAATGTCCGTGTTGGAACTCAATTAATATTTATATAAAAAGTTAGAAAAGCACGGGGGTTAGATAATTATTAAAATAATAAAATATAACTTTAGTTATTTGAAATTTTATCATTTTAGATTTATAAAATAATCATGACTATTAGTACTCATAGAAAATTTATTAACGGTTAACACACGATCGTCATGCAATACCTAAATTTTTTTTCTCGTTTATTATGATAATAAAGAGAAATATTTTTTTATCATAAGGATGATAATCATAAATCATCTTATCCTTCTTTGTAACAAAAGAAAATAATCATAAATTTCTTCTCTTTCTTCAAAACTATAAAAACTTATCTTAAATAAAGAGAAAGTTAACTCATTATCAAGAATTACTCTAACCTACGTTTGAAAATCTCAGTTTACTAATTTAAGTATCAAAGGGATCGGATCATAAAGCCCTACCAGACTTTAGTTTTTCACCGGTGACACATTAAGAGTATAACACTTCCATATGAGAAGTGTAATACTTCTATCTCAGGTGTACAATACTTTTATCTCGAATTCACTTTGATAGCGTAATATTTTCATAACGATAGTATGATATTTTTCACATCAAGAGCGTAATATTTCTATCTCGAACTCAACTCGAGAGTATAATATCTCCATGTCGAAAGCACATTGAATATTTCTATACATATGGGTCTTAACCACCACATCGAGCTGACAAAAACAGTAATGATATTTTTCCTCATAACAGGTGACACATTAATAATATAATACTTTCAAACGGGAAGTATAATACTTTTATCTTGAATTTACCTTGATAGCGTAATATTTCCACATCAAGAGTGTACTATTTTTACATCAAGAGTATAATACTTTTATCTCGAATTAAATTTGAAAATATAATATTTCCATATCGAAAATACATTGGATATTTCTATGTACATAGGTTTGGACTACCACGTACGGCTGAAAAAAAAAATCGATAATGTTTTTTCTCGATAATAAGTACTTCGCTTGAGTTGATTAGACAGATATAAAAAAAGTTGATAAAAAAATATATTAAGAAGAACATATATATATATATATATATATATATATATATATATATATATATATACATGTAATATTTAAATTTTAGAATTTAAAGGGATAAAACATCGCCTTCGATCAGAGCTCGAGGTCGTCTCTCCGGTCCAACATCAAGAAGCTCGCTAATGCTGTGGGTGTTACTCTTAACCCTCGAGGTGCTCGATGAACCTCCCTCCCTCTCTTTCATTAATCGCTATCAGTGAGTTTGAACAAGTCTGAATATTCTAATTTATAGTGATAAATGTGAAGTTATATTAATTTATAAAAAATAATTTTATATATTTTATGAAGTGATATTAATGTCAATTATATTTTTTATGTCATTGCATTGATGTTAGCTAATGAAAATTAATTTGTTTGATTTTATAGGGTTATAAATGAATAAATAAATAAATAAATAAATAAAAATAAATATATTTATTTATTGAAGTCTGGTGGCTTTCTTCCCTTTCCACTTGCTGGCGCTACGAACCTCATCCTCACTCGGAACAAATATCTCGTAGATTTGTTGTTTTGTCCCGTTCTATACCGCTCTTTTGGGCCGCCTCCCTCCGTCGCTCTTCCGTTTCACGCCTCTCATCCTCCTATTCCACTGCTCGCGTGTCCTCTCTCGTTGCCTCTTGCTCCTCCAAGCAAGCGATAAAAAGAGATAGACCCGCAGCAGTGCGGACGGCCTCGCCCGAGCAGTTCTCGCGATGAAAGCTTGTCGAAGTCTCCTCTCACCTGTCTCGATTCCCATGGTTCCCAAAAATCACCTCAGAACTCCCTACACCAATTCCGGTGAGTGGAACCCTTCTTATCGGTACAAATATCACTCCTTTGGGGGGACTTCATTTTTCTGGTCGTTTTCGGTGGTATGTAGTGATATCATGTCGGTTGCACTGAAGTGCCTGTAAGGTGTTTGCTTGTTTTCCTCCTAGGACCTTTTGGGATCCTATAGGTGTCGTCGCCGATGGGTTCAGGTGTAGACACAGGACTCTATACTTACCTGCCATGAATAGACACATGAGTCTGCTCCTCACAAGAAGACCTGTAATTGTGCGTTCATTTTATTAGTTAAGGCATAAAAATTGAGAACTTCCATTGGAACTTACTTTTTGGCCTGGTCTCTTTTCATATGGCATTTTAGCTGTCATTAGTTGTAGCGGGCAGCAACTACCACAAATCTTCTGTTTTTCTATATCATTAAAGCTTCCCTAGAAGGACAAATAATGCTGTATGTGTAGTGAGTTGGCTAAAGAGCAAATGAAAGGAATCTAACACCAAGGGATTAGTATTTGCACGACAAAATTATTTCTGGTGCTCTTGGTGACATGATTTATGTACCAAATGGAGACTTTGTTTGTCAGCCAACATAAGAGGCCAAACTTAACCACCAGTCCAAGCATCAGGGGAACTCAACCACCTTAGAATCTCTAATAGCTCTGATTTATATTCAGTTTTCTTATAGGGTTGAACCTTTGATTTTTGTGCAACTTCGAAATATGTTCCTTTTGCTGATATTGTTTTTGCAGTTCCAATGCTCCTTGATCAAGCAAGTCAGCCGATGATCCATGTACCAGCCACACAAGTGGTGCATCACATAACTGCATCAGTTCTTTCAAAGGAACAATGTGATGATCTCAAAACTAACCATCTCAATAAGGTTGAAAAATCTGTGCAGGTAGGCTTCCGGGTACTATGTTATATTTGAATTGAACCATGAATATGTATGCACACACACCAAGAGCAAGGAAGAAAGGGAGAGGAGGGGGAGGGGAATGGTGGAGAGAGGTGACTTAGTTTATCTTAAAACTTATCTCAACAAATCTATTGGTTTACTGATAAATAAATAGAGGAGAATAGAAGAGAACAAAAAGAAAGGAAAAGGGAAAAATAGAAAAGAGCTTAAAATATATGAAAATTAAGTAAATAATATTTAAGTAAATTTATGTTCTTAAAAATAAAATATTTCTTTAAAAAAATTAGAGATTGTTAATTCTTTTTCTTAATACAAAATATTAAAAGATTTATATAGATTATCATTTTAAATCTCATCTTTAAATGAAAACATTGTTTAATTTGGTCCTATATCCTAAACTCATATATCCTTAATCAAGACAGTGGTCATGTCTGACACTAGGATCTAAATCCATGGCCAATACACATGGAATTCTCATTTTACTTACTATCATGCTTCATTCAGTTTTACTCTCATGCATGCGATGCCTTTTCTGGTTGAAGGAAGGAGTATTTTGTCATGTATGGTATTTTGGAGTACTTTTATCATTCTATTGGTGGAGTATTGTGAAGGGATGACTCTAGTCAATTATAAGCAGAAACTATATTTGATGTGTTGCTCATATCAATTTCCTCTCTATTGATGATTATTTGATCTTTTAATTTCGAAGGCAACACCAGATAAGTGGTTAACAGAGGCTGGCAGATCATGTTCTGAAGAGAGAGAAAAGCATGAATTTAACCAATACTTGAGATATCTTGAATGCCAGTTGTCTTATCAGCCCAGTTTATGGTATCCGTAAGATAATCTGGCTTACTTTTTATCATCGAGCAACATTTATTTGACAATTTTCTGAGTACTGTTTTTTTTATTCTTGAACTTCTTTCTGATATCTCTTCCAGATTCCCTCCTCTTGATGAGGAAAAGCAATCGTTACCAGTCTCTGTAGGTCCAGAAGAAACCAGTACCTGTGTAAGTGGAGACAGCAGTGCTATGCAAGTTGAAAATACTAAAGACTGCATCACACCAGCCGATGTTCTTGCCCTTGCTAAAAAGGCTATGATTGCCTCAAAAATAGCAGCATCTTTGGTGGAACAATCAAATATTTTGGGAATTGAAGTTGATAAATCAAACTTTTTAGGGTGTGTTTCTTATTGATCAGATGCTCACCTTCATTTCTTGACACTTGGAATTGTTTTATGTATCAATGTTTTTCAATTTCTAAGAGTTCTCTTAATCAGTTTTGATGAAGGATCAAACGATGATACTTTTTTTAAAGAAGAAACAACTGTTAGATCAAGAAAGCTATTGGAGAGGCGATCCAAGAAACGTAAGGTCTCCAAGAATCCAAACAATTTTGTACACCATGGTGCCAGTTCAGTGACCATCAATCAAAGCAAGAAGATAGATAAAAGGCTTGACTCCAATGACCCCCTCAGGTTATTCTTGTGGGGTCCTGAGACAAAACAACTGTTGACAGTTAAAGAAGAAAAGGATTTATTTGTTAAGATAGAGGCATGTGTTATGTCTATCTTTGTTTGCAAGCTTCCTTTATACTTAGTTGGCATAAGGGGGTCACTGATCATATCCATATGTTTTTTGATTTTTTACTATGAACAGGATCTTATGAGATTGGAAGAAGTTAAAGAAAGACTTCAGTCACAATCTGACCGTGAACCAACATTGGCGGAGTGGGCTCAAGCAGTTGGAATGAGCTGTCAAGATTTACAGTCCTGCCTTTCTTCTGGGAGACGCAACCGAGAAAAGATGATTTATGCTAATTTTCGTCTTGTGGTACATGTTGCGAGACAATATGAAGGGAAGGGCCTTAATATTCAGGATTTGCTGCAGGTTGACTTGGATTGTTTACATGTTCATGCTTAACACAATTTAATGGTTG